GATTCATATATAAAAAGTGGTGGCGAAAAAAATAATGAGCCAGAGAGCTCTAGCGCTTCTTCAGAACAAATCATACCTGCTACTATTTCTAAAGAAAAAATTTCATTAGGTGGTGCAGGGAACTCTATTGATATAGACAAATTACTATCATCGGTGCTCACCTGCTCGATATTGCTTTTTCTATTAATCGTAATTATATGGTTAGTCATTGTGAAAAAGCTATGGAATTTGGAGAGCATTATGCCAAAAAAAAAAGTCAGATATCCCGCTCACAAAAAATATATAAATAGAGAAGAGGTACTAGATAGGCCAGGGATAACATCTAATTATCTACCGTATGAGTACTGACGCTAGTGGGACTTCTTTAAATCTTTTTTCAATGCAGGCTAATATCATTTTTGGTAAATCTTTGGGCGGGTTTATTAAGACTTTTTCTACCTGAGACACCGTACATCCTAATAACCATTCAATATGAATCTGATCACCGCCCTTACTATTATGCCCATAACGTAGTAAAAATCGATACTCATCCATTACAATATCTGCCATTCCCCTCCCGATCTGCTATTATCTCACGAAATTCCTGTTCATCCTCTTCTGTGATTGGGAGACGAATTTCGTTAGGTTTGAAGCCTATATATTGGGAAAGTTGGTTGCGTAATTCAGCTATTATATTAATAAAGCTTGAGTTTAAATAAAACCGTTAATATTGCACAAGAAAAAATACCTAAATACTGCTAATGATCAGCTATATATCCGAGGCCGGGCTATGTGATCAGAGGACTGAGTTGAAAGAGGCCACCCCGTGACCTGACCGGAGATAGAAATTGAAGTTAGCCGGTATTATTGCATGAGAAAAAAATATATAAATAATATTGTAAGTTTTCTTAGCTAAAATTCTTACATCCTGCTAAGAGTACTTAATAATATAATTCGATGATATCATCTATATCCGCTTCATATGAATTATCTTTTTTATCACCTTGTAACTTCGATAACGCTCGATAGCGTGTGATTTCTAGGCCAACCACTTTGTACCACGTGTTCTACAAATCAGCTAATATTTCATATCCATTTTCTTGAATATATGTTAACATATATTTTTCTAAGGTCATGGCTTTAGATTTATGCTTACCGGCCTTAGTAACTAATTTATACATTTCTTCTCTGCTTCCTATATCGTCTTGGGAAATTTCTGCAAGTAATGTCGTTAGCTTTATGCGAATTGATTCCTTCTGCTTATCTAATGCGCTGAGAAAGGAAAACCAATAAGCATCATTTCCCGAGCATTTTACTATTTTATCAGCATAAGTGGTATTATATAAATTTTTCGCATAAGTATGTGCTTCTTTCCATAGATGGGCTATAATAGTCTCATCTTTTTTTGGACCTTCATAAAGGTTTTTGATATATCCTCTAACCCACTTTTCAGCTGATTTCTGCGCTAATGCATCTCTTATTTTTGATACCTTAT